GGAGCTGGAAAAGTTCAGATTTTAATTTAGATAAAGTGCGCTATGGAAATCAGCGGCAATGGCATTTCGCGTAACTCCACTTGGTTTATCCTAGCTCAAATCAGTAGCACAAAACTAAACACTCCATAAACACCCACACACACTCGCACACATACATAGACACTGAATTGGAGCAGGTGGGGACAGGTGGGGCATCAGGTAAAGCTGTAAATAGCGCGCTTTCATGTAGATAATTAATCACTGGGCACTGCTAACAATTTTCTGCGAGTTATTTGCAACCGCTTTTTGCATTTTCCTATCCCTGAAAAGTTTGACTCGCTTTTGCGTTTGCGTTTCGGATTTGTGTTCCACTTGAAGCTTGAATTGGGCAGCGCCACGGTGAGGGGAGAGAAGCGACGTGAATACTGGCTGCGAATGGTGGTGCTGGTGGGTTGGTCTTGTGGCTTGTTTTGCGGGCAATCTAAATGCAGTTTTATGCAAATTTATTTCTGATCTTATCGTACAATTTTCAAGTTCTCAGCCATGGCATGGATGATGAAAAAGCGGAATGAGAGTGGGAGAGAGAGTGCAGAGAGGAAGGGCGAGAAGGAATGGGTATTGCATTGTGTAGTTTTGAATTTATTGCTTAAGCTTTCATGGCAGGCGCGGAAATGAAATCAATTATACGCCCTGTTGGCCATTCGATGCACGAAAGGAAATCGAAATTATACGAATTAAATGAAAACGATTAAACATTCGCTCCTTGCCTGTATATATACAGAGTGATTTATCTGGAAGGGCTAGATTTGAATGGAGGGAATAGATTTTGGTATAAAGATTTCTATAAATCGTACTTACATATGCGATTTATATTAGATATGAAAAGTTAGCGTTTAATGCAGGTACTAGATTTAAAGACTGCACTCGATTTAGTATATAAAGTTTATATTAATCGCATTTATAAATTAACTCTTTGTTAGAGATGACTCCTTGTAAAGGAGTTATTTATTTATTACAGTTATTCTACTTTTAAATTCGATTTTTATATATTTATATGTACCATAGGAGGCTTTATACTAATCATTTCTTTTATTCATCATACAGCTATGATTTTAACTTTGTTCGATTCTTACATAAAAGCTGCTCTCTTGCTCTTCCTCTTGTGTTTCTGCCATTCTCGTTTTCTTATCGATGTTGCACTATCGATGTTAAACTATCGATACCCGACAAAAACTCGCTCGATAGTTAACAATAGTGCCATCCGCTCGAAAAATTACAAATGTAATCTCTTATTACCATTCTAAAATATTTATTTTACTTAGATACAATTATTCGCTATGTTTACTTATAAATCGGTTATCATTTTATAAGCTGTGATTAATTTGGTTTTATATGTGCTGGAGCTTCAAAGAAATCTGTAAGAGGAAAATGTGATTCCCATTTGTATATTTGCATTATAAACGTAGTATTTATCTTATTGAAAATGTTAACTAATTAATATACATATGTATTTATTTTATTCTTGCACTCTGATGCCCATTCCTCATGGATTCGAACCGGAGTTGAAAATTGGCAGCGAAAACAGTTTACATAAATACTGAGCACACTTGCATGGCCGAGCATGAACTGGACTGGAACCGAAGAATGGATGGCTTCGACATTTGGTGGGTAGGGTGGCAACACTCTCTGGCACTCGAGTTGCAAATGGCAGAATATTTAAATGTAACTCAATTTGGAGCGCGCTGGAAACCACTGTCCCAACAAGGAGATGCAGGACAACAGAGCAACACCAGCAGGAGCAGATGACAGCAAATGTGTGTGTCCCTCTACCCATAATAACAAGATATTTCTATTTGATTTATTTATAAGTGCAATTTGTGCGCATTTCTTTTGCAAAACTCTCGCCGCTCCCAATGCCTTTTGAGCTTCGACGACCACACACACACACACGTGCTCACACATACTTACATTTGAAATGGGGTGTGGTCCTCTGACTGCAGGGAAATGCAATGTTTTATTGACGACAGGCAATTCAATTTGCAAAGTCTGTAATATATTTTGATGCCAATGCGCAAATAAAAATTGAAATCAAATGCAAAGCACAGCTGAAAATCAAATAAAATAAGAAATTCAAATGGCAACGGCTGTTCGAGGGTATTGCTTGATTTTTGCCACGCCCACAGAATGCTTGAAAATGTCATAGAATTTGATTTGTGATTGCATATTGCATGGATAATCCGAATCAATATGAAAAGGTGGAATGTGTAAACGGAGATGAGCTAAAAGCACTCTGAATACCGAATGGAATCCATTTACAAGGTCTTAATTGTTTAAAATATTTATATTAGTATTTATTTATAGCTTTATCGAAGCCCTTTCAGCTCTCTAATATACTCGTAGTGTGGAATTCTTCGCCGTGTCTATGGGGCGCACCTTTAGGCAAATGTTAAACGATTCTGAGCTCTGCAAACGGTGTAAATAAACGCAAGAGGATTATTAATGCGGACACCTTATCAAAAATGGCAGCAATCAGCACGCTCAGTTAGCACCTCATTACGCGTTCGAAGGGCAGGCGAGTAGGGTGCGGGCAGTGAAGCTTATTGCTGACCAACCCATACACACACACACATACGTTAATGGCGGCATTTCTTTTGCAGCTGCAGCTGAGCGGCAGGCAACGGAGGCGGAGGGGCACCCGTCAAAGCCAAGTGGCGTGTCAATTGGCCATTAACATGGAGTTCAGCCCGATAAATATAAGCACTAGGAGGAAAGAGCAGCGCCTGGCACAGCGCTGTGAGCCGGGCCAAGCCGTGTCCTGATTGATGCTAAAAGTGTTGGCTGATTGAGGGGCACCTGGCCTAAGTTCTTGCCTACGATCTGACCCGTTGGTCAGCTTGAAAAATCTTTTAGCTGAAGGGTTTTCTTTTCTGTGCTGCTCTTGTTGTTGTTGCTCCTTGTACAAGGGATGTCGTTGGGATGTCAAGGGACTGTGTGGCTGCACGTCAACTTTGTCGAGAGTCTGACGAAAAATTTTAATTAAAAAATTAAATGCGGCAACACTTGGAAATTTGTAAGAAAATTGCTCATTAAAAGTTTTCACCTGGTGAGACGCTCAAAAGCGCAAATCTCGACACTAATTTTCTTTTTCATGTAATTATGTGCAGCAGCAAAAAGTGGCAGAAGTCGGAGAAAGCGGACATGACTAGCAAATACCCTGTATAAAAATGCCAATTAAGTTATATAGAATTTATAAAAATGTGAATATAATTAAGAAATATTTATTATATGATGTCACAACTGACTTGCAAATAAATCATATAATTAAATTTATTTCCCTATAAGTAAGTTTGTATGTGAAATACTAAATTAATTTTTAAAATATAAATATTTAATTGTATCATATCTATTGATATAATTTCATTAATTATCCAACTACCTCCTTTAATCAAATATTTTTAAAATATTCATATACTTATCATATTATCTCATACCCACTTTTTACTTACTAACCACACAAACTTCCCTCCTCCAGCACACAATTACAGGGTATACAGCTTCGCTCTTGCGCTGCATGCAATTGTGTTTTTTGCCCACGCTTTGCACCCAATTTTCAGAGCACATTTGTAGTGGCAACTCCAGCGCTGCCAGAAAGCAACTGTAGAGAGTAGAAGTTGGCGCTGAATTTTTGAGCTCTTGACACGATTTCTGAGTTGGTTGGCCATGGTTTTGTCGCTCTACGTATAGAGTTTCGGAGCCAGTAAGCCTGCTGGCTGCTAAAATTCATATAAAATTGTTCCCAGCAGAAAAGGGAGAAGTCTGTTAGTTAATCCAGTAATGGCTGATTCTACGAACATATTCAGATGCCGTCGAATGGTCGTTGTAATGGAGACAACCATACCAGCCTGCAGAGCAAGCGGCAGCCATGCGAAACTGGAGGAGTCCCATCATAGACGGCCAGTATTGATGTGACTGTCTATGTGAATCCTATGCATATTAATAAATCTATCTTCATGGAGCGGCAGCTAGAGCAATTGACGTTTTATGCTCGAGTTTGGGTTTGGGCTTAAGCAGATCTGTTATTATGTCATGTTATATGGTCGCCATGGGAGATGGGGCGTACGTGGGCGGTCAGAAAGCTGCAGGCTAAATCAAAAGTGTCTGTTCGGTGTCAGTTTAATTGCAAACGTAAATTGGATGCTGGCGTTTACAACGTTTTCATTTGCTACGAATGCAGCACGGCTCCAGCTGCAATGTTGGCACTGACAGACATTTCTGGCAGATGCTTCGAGTGCTCTGCTCTGCACCCACCCACACACACACACACACACACACATAGAGAGAGAGTAAAATGCAAACGTTGCACAAATCTGAGCTGTGTTAATTGGACTCATTTTAGAAAACTTGCAATTGTGTATTTCGAATTGGCAGTTCGGACAGTTGACACGCTGCAAAATAGATTCGCAATCAGAGATTGCTGGACACAGGAAAATTCCTTATTTATTACAAGTCTCCAGGGTGTGCATAGAAATTGCTGCAATATATTGAAAGGATTTTATTTCTAACAATTGGGCTGCCTTCTATGCTTTGCTTCTTCTTCTTCTGCCTCTTCTCCTGTGTTGCTGATGTCGGCACTCTCGATAGCAGGAATCTTGATATTGGCGTAACCCTTCAGTTTGCACCAGTCATAGTCGCCATCGTGAACATATCTGAGGCGAGTGAAGAGATCACTAAAGCTGCGACGCAAGCCCAGATAGTTGGGCTGCTTCTCGAATCGCACCTTGCGGCAATAGATCAGATACGCGGCGAACTCATCGGGGAAGCCCTTGCACAATTCCGCCAGCTTGGTGGACTGCTTCCGCTCGGCCAGTATCTCGTACTTCTGATGGGCCGGCGCCGTCATTCCCTGCCAGGGCAGGTTGCCGCGCAGAAAGTACATCAGCATATAGCCCAGGGACTCCATGTCGTCGCGACGGCCGATCTCGAAGCCCATGAGCGCATGGATGGAGGCGTAGCGAGCCGTGCCCGTCATTCGGTTGCCCCACTTGAAAGGTATGTGCGCGTGCTCCTCCGCATCGTAGTAGCGCTTCGCCAGGCCAAAGTCAATAAGATGCACGGTATTGTTGTCGGTGCCGACGGTAAAGTTATCGGGCTTAATGTCGCGATGGAGAAAGCTCTTCAGATGCACATGCTCGATGCGCTCGATCATCTGCAGCGCCAGCATCAGCACCGTCTTCAGTGTGAAGCGACGCGAGCAGAAGTTGAACAAATCCTCCAGCGACGGCCCCAGCAGCTCCATGACCATCACATTGTACTTGGCCTCCTGAAAGAAGTTATAGACGCGCGGCACCCCAACGGCAGGCATCAGCATCTTGTACAGATTGTACTCGAACAGCAGCTGCGGCCGAACTATAGTATTCTCTTCCAGCTTGAGGGCGACGCGCTCCCCACTCTTCTCGTGCTCGGCCAGCAGGATGTCGCCAAAGGAGCCGAAGCCAATCTTCTGGAGAACGCGATACTGGCGTATGCTTGCGGGTACGATAATCTTTCTCTTGGGCTGACGAGGCATGGCTGAACACTCAAGTTTCTTCGTTTTGTTTTAATTTACGCTTTTTTTCGAACGTAGTTGCAGCTGACTTGCCTATCGTCTTTTGCTTTTTTTATTGCCGAATGACACTTCACTTTTTCAAAATTATCGATAGCTCATTTTACATTTGGGGCCTTTGCGTCTATCGACAAGTTGATTTCGATTATTCAAGTTTTTCAAAATGGTGCACTTTGACGAGATGCGTCTGCAGTATGAGAAGCGCATAGAGGAGCTGGAGCAGCAGGTGCTGGAATGCTCGCAGATGCTGCAGCAGCTGAAGAAGGATACCGTTGTCAAGGACCTGCACGAACAGAGCTATGTGCAGACGGAGACGCATTTGTGCTGGGAATTCGACATGAGCGAGTTCCCGTTGCACAACATAATAGTTGAGCTCGAGCATCGACGCGTCAAATTGCACGCATACCGCGATGACGGGGATCAATACGAAGAGGTCTTTCGCCAATTCGAGCTGCCCGAACACGCCGGCACCGACCTGAGCGCCAAGATGGGCATCTCTGGCATCCTCACCATACTGGCTCCACTCAGGACCAAAGCTGGCTAGCACGCAAGCAAACATACAAACACACGTATACCAAAATTTACATAGACATACACATATACATATAAATTTGTTGGTTTAGTATACAATATTGCTACGTGTTAATGAACAGAAGATTTATATATTGTTTATTTTTTTTTTGTTTTTTGTTGAGTTGGGCTCTAGAGCGGCCGCCAGCACTTCATGTAGGAGCAGCCACGCGAAGTTGGCGGCGGGCAGACGGGGCAGACTCGATTGGCTGGCGGAGTGGGGAATACCACGACGTGTGGCGTCGGATTCTGACATGGCGATTGGGCATTCATACGCTGTTCCCTTTCCAATTCAGCTAAGAGTTCCCGTTTCAATTCTTCCAGACATGAAGGCGCATCATTCTTAGGCTGAGCGCAATTACCGATTACTGCTTGTCTACTCAATTGGGATTTGGAGCAGACTCGAACTGGCTCCAGTTTAGTTGGCATCGAACATGGCTCAGCGCAGGCTGTTGGCGGTGCCAGCTCTTGACAGGAATCCCTTTTACATACGTTCTTAAACGAAGTTATATTTTGCTCACTGCATTTACACGCTGGGAGTGGGGGGACTTCTGGAGTGCAGGTTGTAGATGAATTGAGTTCTGGTACAGGCGAAATTGTGCACTGATTGTTGCGAACGCTGAAATAGTCGTTTTCTTGATGATTTCTTTTCGCTGCTATTTGATATGGATATGCCAGCAGCTCGTCCATGCAAAGCGAAGGCTCTGGAATTGTTGAAGTACATTTTTTACTCTGGCTGTCCGAATGCAAGTGAGTACACGAAACATTACGATCAGGAGGAGCGCATTTCTGTGGCTGCTCCGAATGCAGCTGAGCAAAAGAGACTTTGTGTTCGGAGGCGAAACATTTTGGCTCTGCCGATATTAGGTGTTGTTTGCTGCACGACAATTTTGGAGGAGCCAAATTTAAGCTGCAGCAGGACGCCCGAGGCTTAACGGCTGCACACGAGAGGTCTGGTCCGTTATTTTTCTTGTGGCTTACAGAAGTCTTGTGACAGCATACCATTGTAGCGCCAGCAATACTTTGATTGTCTTCAAAGAATTCTGAATTCACATTCCGATTCTGATTAGGATTCGCACAGGCATCGATGTGTTCGCTCCGATTGTGGCAGCCGTAAGAGCTGTGACTAGCCTTTTCTTTGGCTGCGCACGAAAAGCCTGTCTCTCTCGAAATAGCCGTAATTGGCTCGGAAGGCAGCACACACTCCGGTTTCCTATAATAGTCACAGCAGCTTTTAGTATGGTCATTGTTCGCAGAATCAACATCTGTGCAATTTACCTTTCCGCGCGTTACTCTGTATACCGTTGGGTAGACGTTGCATCTGGTTTTCTTCCTAATCGAGGTAAAGCAGTAACTAGGTTTTCTCTGAAAGCATCTCGGACCCTTAGAGTTCGAAGTTATACAGGATGTGTTACTCCCGGACTTGAACAGACCGGTCTTACGACTTATAACGTTATTGAAATTCGAAGCAGATCGCTGCTCCTTGCCATCGGGTCGGTGCTTAGCTCTGCTTTGCATTCTAGGCTTGGACTTGGACCGTTTAAAGAAGCCAGATATTTTTTCTTTTACTGACTTATGGTGTTTGCGTTGCGGCCTACAGTAATTTGTGGAACTGCGGCACATCGAATTGGAATGCATCAAATCCGAATCATAACCTACATTTCGCCACCTCGGGTTGGCCGCGGAATAGTAATCATAGCCGGACTCGGAGCGACTACAATCATAATCAGAATCAAAGTTCGGTATATGATTTGGCATCGTTTCCTTAAAGGGAATATCAACAGAGAGTAGCTCAAAGCTTTCTGGATATTCGTAGTTTTGTCTCTGTGTACGGAACATATTTCGCTTAGTTTTTAGTATATTGTAGGGTATCTCACAGTCGATGCCAAGGAAATCCACAGATTTCTTCTGATAAGGCGACCTTCGATACATCTCGGGCTTGTAATCGTAATCGTAGTCATAGCTTAATGCGGGCTCTGGATAATAGTTACTCCTTATGTTTGGTATCGGATTGTACTTCCACTCTGAGTCGTAGTCTGGCGAATATTTTACATTTGGACTATAGTCTGTATAGCAGTCACGCTGATTATGATAAGGAACCTCCAAATACTCAGTATTCGCATAGCCAGAAGGTTGTCTGAGTCTTGACCTATCTATACTGTTTGGTTTGGTTACGGCGTAATCTTGATACTCAGAAGGGTGTGAGGTGTGAAATCTATCGTGGAGTTTATTGGGAAATTCGCATTTAAAGAACGAGTTGGATAATTTCGAGTTTTCCAGAGTGCCATAGCGCTTCATATTTCGATAGTCCCATTCCGGAAAATATTCCCATTCAGGATCGGCATAAATTTGGTTATAGCTTGTAGGTTTGTAGTGTTGCTCATAGGGATCGAAGCTCAGTTGGTTTGGGCATTCGTAAGGTTCCATGACGTTAGGCCTGGGCGGCACTGCACTCATACGTCTCTCAGTACATCTCGTATAGCGTTCGGGCTTGTAGATATCCTTTCGACTATTTGAATCTGGATTCAAGCCATGCGGAATTGGCAGCCCTCTGCGATATCTGTCTAATCCAGAGCGTTTTCTGGCAAAAAATTTATTTGGAACCGTAAAAGACAAGCTACTTTCTCGACTGTATTTGTCCTTTATAGATCCAAATAGACCTCCGCCAGGTTTCCGATCTGAAATAAACGTAGACAGTCAATAAAGTGCCAGACGGGATGAGAATTCTTACACACGCTCTTGATGAGTTGCAAAGATTTTGCCAAAACTGTTGACGCGATTTTCTATCATCTCCGATATATCAATACTAAGGCACACAGACATTCTCTGCAAATAGTCTTCGTCCCGCTCTTCATTCGAGTGTATGTAGCGCAGGCCGCTCCATTTTTCCATGTTAAATAGCAGTGCCCAACCTCATGAATCCGTTAGCCAGAAACCCAACTCACCCAACTCTAAGATTGACTCATAATTTAACAGAATACTGTTTCGATTATCGGCAAGCTGTGCAAGCTTACCTACACTTATCGATTGACCGATTAATTTCATTGCGTCGCTCCAAGAGATTGAGGTGAATAGCAAATCTGCTCTTCGAGCATCTGAGTGATTGTATTGGATATTTCTGGAATTTCTAAAATTATTTGGAATATGTCGACTATATCGAGAGCAACACAAACTGAGCCATCGGATCGTTTGACGGCAGTGCAACTGCGTTTGGAGCATCTGAAGAGCATCTTGCCGGAATGCGATGTTGCCTGGGCAGAGACTCACGAAGTTCAACGTTCGCCAACTACAATTGCTAAGAGCGAAAGCACTCAGTTTGAGGGAGACAGATCGACAATCCTTATTGGCCGCTACCGAACAAGGGTGGATCGATCGGTTTTGCGGAGCATCAACTGGGATTGCTACTCGCTGGCGACGCGCACACTGCTAGAGGCCGTCTTTGACAAGGAGACGCTCGGCACGAAAAACCTATCAGGCGTTAAAGTCGACTCGAAGGTTCGCAAATGGTCTGCGACGTATATGCTCGATCCGGACAAGATCAGCGACATCGTGCAGGTTGTTAAGCTAAACTGCAAAGTGGATGAAAAGTGCATACGTAAAGTTATTGCCAACAAGTGCGGGGATGCAGCCAGTACGAAACGCAAAAGGGAATTCTTAAAATATGTGTATTCATTGTAAAGGTATATACATACATATATACATATACATATGTATTTGTCTGATGAACAGATATCTGTCTCCGTTGAGTCAAGACACAAATGTTTTATTTGGGGCTTCTCGTTCTGTGGCTTTATTCTTGCTTTTAATTGCAGCGGTAATTATTTTATAATGATTGAAATGGCAACAACAAAGGCGGACGCCGGACGCCATCATTATTTTAAGAGTGCTAGAAAATATGCTCTTAATTGCGGAAATATATTTCCATTTAAAAAATAAATATAAAATAGATGCGATAATTATGCGGAATACGCTCGCATTTCCATCACATTAAAATTTCAAACAATAGAGACAGTAAAATGCAGCGCCTGGATAATGGGGAAAACCCAATCCCAATCCCGAATGGCGAATGGCAAATGCCTGAAAGCGTGTTCAAGTGCGGAAAAGCTGAAAATTATTGTGAGGCAAAAGTGCTTTTTAAGTACCACCCGCTCCCACGAGCTGCAGAATGAGCCACTCGTAGAGCTCCCTCATAGCCAAATGCAATGCAATTTATGTGAGCGTAGGCAATGCCAATGCCAATGGAATGTCGAAGATGAATCAATTTATTATTTTATAATCACATAGCTAAGTTGTAAGCTTTCATTTATGTATAGTTTGTACAGATGTGATTATAATTTATTTGGATTCTCTATTACTGTTTGCCCTAATTGTCTAGAAACTAGTCTGCTCTCTCTAGTTAATCTTCTGTTTTAGGTAGTCTCGCTAGTAATATCAGCGCTAGTATATGTATAGTATGTTTCGTTATATGTGTCAAGTAATTTCCAATTTTCTACTCTATTTTTATACAATTTTCACATGTTTTTTTCATTCTTTTTTAATTGCAATTGCAATTGCAATGGAATCTCTCATCGGCTTAAAGGGCAAAGATTATGTCGTTCTTGCGGCCGATACCATGATGGCCGATGCCATATTCTTTTTGAGGGACAGTAAGTATCGATAAGTCAGCTTGCTTGATACAGAGACAGCTTGTCTTCTGTGGCTTCTCCTTTCGTAGATTGCTCAAAGGTGCGCGCCCTTTCTGGCAATTGCATGATGGGCGTGATTGGCAATGAGGGCGACACAGCGAAGTTTGCGGATTATATTGCGGCTCGTGTTTCGCTCTACGAAATCATGAACGGCTATGCCATGGATACGTCGGCAATCATACACATTGCGCGCCAGCATTTGCTGTCGTGCCTGGCCAGTCGGATCAAATTTGTGGTCGCGATGCTCATTGGCTGCTTCGATACGAAAAAGGGATACAATTTGTGTTTGATCGATTTTCAGGGCGCATCACACTTCCTCAACTATTCCGGACTAGGCGTTGGTCACTCAATATCCTTGAGCATTTTCCACACGATGTGGAAGCCCGACCTCAGCATCGAAGATGGACTGACTATAATACGTAGGTGTTTAAAAGAGGTCAAGACTCGTTTGGTAATCAATTTGCGTCATTTCGAGATCTTTGTGCTGGACAAGCACGGTGTACGTAAGCTGGAACCGTCAGGCAACCCACCAGTATTAGATCGGATATTTCCCCAGCGACTAATCCCCGATCCGTTCATATGAGATTCGTTTGCTGTACAGATTATACTGGAAATTTGATATTATATTAAATGCCTAAGAATCGATATAATTATATTTATTATTCTATCAACTAAATGAGTGTACCACCTGCTGATTGTATTGCACCTGCTGAAATTTGCCATATGGCATACAACTTAGAGCTAAACAATAAAGAAAACTTCAGCTGGGAGTGCTGGACTGGGACATACCCTATCCATATATTGTGTAAATAGAAATATCACTTAAAAAAATAAATATAATCCGACATTGGCATTGATCGAATCAGACCTACTGAGCTGGACATGAAAACGAATGTATGTACATATATACTTTATGGGGCCTGTCACGTCTTCTTCTGCCTGCAACACACATTTTTACAGAGCCATTAGTCGTCGCTTTGTTGGCGATAATTGCGGATACGACCTTCAACTTCTGTCCTTGCCATTGGCCATTGGCCAGTGGTGGTATAAAAGCCTCGGACCATGGGCTCAGCGGCCTAACAATCAGCCTGCTCAAGAACGTAACAGTCATGTCGACAATTTTTAACAAAAACAGCGTCTACTTCGGCGTTCTTTGGTCGTCATATTACGCCTTGGGCGGCGTTGACTTATATGACGGGAATTATGGAAGCATTCGCTATTGGGCTGCTGTGCTGCTTAATGTTCTCGTGACTTTGTGCTTGCCGCTGATGCTTTTCATGACCATGTTCAGCTTCGATCTACCGCTGGAGAATCTGATGAACTTCAATATAACGCTCACCTCGGCGTGCGCCTCTGTGAAATTCGTAGTATATGTCACTCAGCTGAAGAAGATTGTGGAGATCGAGCAGCGAGTGGCTCAGCTGGACAGACGAGCGGACACGGATGAGCAACGTTCTTATAAGGCCCAAATGGCCAGGAAATTAGTCATCATGTCAACTGTGTACAAATATATTTACTGCTGTGCTATTGTAACCACATGTGCTCCTCCTTTGTTTCAAAAGGAGCGCTCGTTGCCATTCCCAGCCTGGTTTCCAACGGACTGGACTACTTCGCTGACCAGTTACATAATTGCTGTGAGTCACCAGATTCTCGCAATAGTCGTTCAAGTGCTGCAGAACTTTGTGGATGATCTGTTTCCGCCAATGATCTTCCTGATCATTGTTGGCCAATGCGAGATGCTCATCCAGCGCCTCTCGAGCATCGGCTACGACCACTGCGATCAGTGCGCCAATGAACGGAAGCTCATCGAATGCATACGTGATCATCAGAAGATCATTCGGTAAGCCACACCATTATTTCTGCACAGCTAGTAATCTCTCTCTCTCTCTCTCTCTCTCTCTCTCTCTCTCTCTCTATTTCTCTCTCTCTCTCTTTCTACGTTAGCCTACACGAACTCACCATGGATGTCATCTCGTACCCCTTGTTGGTGCAGTTCGTTGTGATCTCCATCGATGTGGGCACCGCCCTGTGTGCTCTACTATTTTACGCCGACAATATGAACGACAAAATCTACTTTATCTCGTTCATTTTCGCCATGACCATGCAAATATTACCCATTTGCTACTTAGGAACCATGGTGGAGTATTCGTTTGGATATTTGCACTTTGCTGTCTATAGCAGCAACTGGGTCGATCAGAGCATTTCCTACCGCAAGAGCGTACTCATCTTTGCGGAGCGCACCCAGCGACTTCCTAAGCAGATTGCCGGCAACTTTATACCGATTGCCTTAACCACGTTCCTCGCTAACTGCAAGGCGGCCTATTCCTTCTGCACTCTCCTCGCAGACACTGGAGAAAAGAAGTAGAAGGGAAGCATATAGAATCGAAATCAATATAAAGTTCACTTTATGAATTACATAAATTATATATGTATATCGTTCTGTCAAATAAATTAATGCACCACCTGCTTGATTGGATTGCTAAATTTTGCCATATGGTATAAAGTTTGTAATTAAATAATTAAGAAAGTTCTGGTCGGAAGTGACCAACTTGGAAATACCCTAATGACGGAACGGAAGTGGATGTTGGACATGGATATGGTTTTTTTATGATCAATCAAGACTTTTTTGTTGAGATATAATATTTGCATCATATAGATACTAAACTTAATAAAGGAGAACTTGAGGCAGTTACTTACTTCTAGAGCTCTGCTGCTTTTCACCAAATGTGAGTCTCACTCTGTATAGGGTATGTTCAAGGCCCTCCGTGCCTTTCTCAAAACAATTTACAGGTTGCAATTAGACTTCGCTTTGATGTCGATAATTGCACAAAATTACCTCGAAAGTCTGTCCTTGTCACTGGCGCGCTATAAAAGCCACGAGCTTCGTATTCAGCAGCTTAACACTTGGCCGGACCTGGATAGTCACAGTAACAGTTATGTCGACGATTTTCAACAAAGGAAGCGTCTACTTCGGCGTTATTTGGTCGTCATATTGCGTCTTGGGCGGTGTCGACTTATATGACAAGAGATATGGAACCAGTCGCTATTGGGCTGCTGTGCTGCTTAATGTTCTCGTGACTTTGGGGTTTCCGCTGATGCTTTTCATGACCATGTTCAGCTTCGAGCTGCCGCTGGACAATCTGGTCAACTTCAATATATCGCTCACCTCGGCGTCCGCCTCTGTGAAATTCGTAATTTTTGTCATTCGGCTGAAGAAGATTGTGGAGATCGAGCAGCGAGTGGCTCAGCTGGACAGGCGTGCGGACACGGATGAACAACGTTCCTACAAGGCCCAATTGGCCAGGAAGCTAGTCATCATGTCAACTGTGTATAAATACATCTATGGCTGCGTTGTTGTGACGTCGAGCGTCTCCTTTCTGTTTTGCAAGGAGCGCTCGTTGCCATTCCCAGCCTGGTTTCCAACGGACTGGACTACTTCGCTGACCAGTTACATAATTGCTGTGAGTCACCAGATTCTCGCAATAGTCGTTCAAGTGCTGCAGAACTTTGTGGATGATCTGTTTCCGCCAATGATCTTCCTGATCATTGTTGGCCAATGCGAGCTGCTCATCCAGCGACTCTCGAGCATCGGCTATGACCAAAGTGACCAGCGCGCCAACGAATGGAAGCTCATCGAATGCATACGCGATCATCAAAAGATTTTTGAGTAAGCTGCCTCAATTGCTGTTGCTCTAAATCAAATAATCTATCTTAATACAGACTCCACGAGCTCACCATGGAGGTCATCTCGTGGCCCTTGCTGGTGCAGTTCGTTGTGATCTCCATCGACGTGGGCACCGCCCTGTGTGCTCTACTATTTTACGCCGAGAATATGAACGATAAAGTCTACTTCAGCTCGTTTATTTTCGCCATGACTATGCAAATATTTCCCATTTGCTATTATGGCACTATGGTCGAGTATTCGTTTGGTCGTCTGCACTATGCCGTCTACAGCAGCAATTGGGTCGATCAGAGCATGTCCTATCGCAAGAGCGTACTCATCTTTGTGGAGCGCACTCGACGCTTGCCCAAGCAAATGGCGGGCAACTTTATACCGATTGCTTTAACTACGTTCCTCGCCAACTGCAAGGCGGCCTACTCCTTTTGTACGTTGCTCGCAGATAGTGGATCAAAGTAATCTGAAGAGTGGATGTAGAGTGGATTATAAAACTCATGCAAGTAATACATAGAAAGAAGGAAAACTTTTCTCAAAACTCCCAAGTAGTAAAGCTGATATATATTTTAATAGCATATATTCAAAGTTTTTGAAAGCACATTTAAGCACTATTAGTGAAATTTTTAATATTGCAAATAAACGACAAGCAGTTTTTACTTAATTTTTATATCTTTGAAATAAGGATAAGCTTATCAACAAATTAATAGGCCAATCAACTCGTCTGGTGAATTTCTCTCAAAGTCACAGATAAAATTTATAGTTTAGCTTTTGGAAAAATATCAAAATTGAATTGAAGTATGGCAATGGAAACGATCTTGGGCATAAAGGGCGAGGATTGTGTGATGCTTGCCTGCGATACAATGCAGGCGAAATCTGTGATCTTTATGAGAGATGGTACAGAAGAGACTCGCTGAGACATAAACATATTTTTATTTACCTAAATAAAAGCATATCTAATCTTTGAATTTGCTTATTAGACCAGCCGAAAATTCATCGCCTCTCCGACTTTGCAATATTGGCCGCAGTAGGCGATGGCGGCGACACTTTGCAGTTCACCGATTATATAGCGAAGCATCTGAAGCTGTATAATATATCGAATGGCTATCATCTGAGTCCGCGCGGTGCGGCGCACTTTACGCGCAAGAATCTGGCGGATTATATAAGAACCAATACCAGGTATCAGGTGTCGATGTTGTTGGCTGGCTACGACAGCGTTGAGGGACCCGATCTTCATTTTATCGACTCCTATGGCGCCGCCATGCCCATCAATCATGCTGGCCATGGCCTGGGCAGCCTCTTCTGCGGCAGCATTTTTCAGCGGTATTGGACGCACGAGCTGAAGCAGAAGCAGGCCTACAACATATTGAGGATGTGCGTGGCCGAGATCCAAAAGCGTTTGGTCATCAATCTGCGCAACTTCGACGTGTTCGTCGTGAACAGGAACGGAACGAGTCAGCTGGAATCGATAAATCCGGCTTCATTCGATGCCGATATGCTATGTCTATCGCTGTCTACTAGTATTCAAAACTATAATACAAAATCGTTGAAATAGGAAAAAGTAGAAAAAAGTAGATCTTCCCTACAAAAATGTTGGAGAACATCCATGTTTCCAAGACAAACGTCTGCAATTCTATTGGAAATAGTCGAAATATGACATTTACTGTCTTACTGACGGTGTAATAAAAAGCTTCAAATTTAATATTATCTATTGGATATGATAGAAAGCTTGACTAGCAGCTTTGCAGAGCTTTGAACCTGACAGGTTTAAGCTTTGCACGTTTTGGCTTGATCTCCAATCAGTCAGGCAGTCAGCCTCATCTACATCTATTTACATATGCCATTCTCTATCAGCTGCATGCAATGATGTGTGGCTGAATGTCTTTCACATTTAATGCTGCTTAACTTTTGTCGATTAAAACTTTTGGTGGCTTTTTTATTCAGCTCTAAACTTGAAGGGATTAGTTGGGATTGGGTGGGCGTTGTGGTATGACAAGGGAACATTCTATGGTTGGCTGCGTTCATGTATTAGCATATGTGGCCTGAATGGATGACTGCCTGGCAGTATGAGGATTTGTTTGTGCAACAATGGCTAAAGTTGCACATAGAGCAACATCTCTATATATATGTACAAATATATACATATGTATGTTTGTGTGTGTGTGCGTCTGCTTGTTGTGGCACATGGTAACGTCAACTATTGCAAATCGGAAGCAGAAAAGCCAACATGTCTCTATTTCCCCATTTGAGCAGAGCAAAGCAGAGCAGAGCAGTCAGTCAGTCAGTCAGTCGTCCCGTTGGACAGACGGCAAAAACTCATAAAAATGTGCGCAGCTTGCAACAAAATGCAGTGGCAGCAACATCGCCTGCATCGTGTGGCATTGTTGCTGCTGAAGTGGTCGGGCTGCCAGGAATTGGCCGTCAGCGATTTTTATTTGTTTGCAGCCGTCGTTGCCATCACTAATTGGCCGCACATGCCAAAGTGTCACTCGGCGAGCACCGACTCGCCTGCATAGAAATGGAAAAATGAACCATGGAAATCTAGGGAAAAAAAAATGATGCGCAAATAAAGCCAACGCTGGCTAGAGACATAACAAACATATCAGCTGGAAAAATGTGAAAACAGTGCAACTAATCGAATGGAAAATACGAAGTTCCCAAATGATTTAAGCGTACAGCAGATGCAGAGAGAACGTGAGGGGCAGATGGAGACGGCATAAAAACAAATGAATTGAGTAAAGACAGATCATAATATAGTTGAGACTGTATATGCTATAAATGGAATATATATAGTGTGAATAATGTTTATGTTGCATTACAATCATAGCCCAAAGAGTCTTTGTTTTCATTGTGAACGTATGAGAATTGCAAAGAGAGGCTGTATGGTTCTAATGCTGGGTATGAGAGAAGAAGCCATGTATATATTTATATCTGCAGTAACAGCTGAGCTGGTTTGGCCGTGTCTGTCCGTCCGTTTACCCGCTCCTCTCTGCCTATCAATCTGTTTTCCCGTCTGTGCGCCCGTCTGTTTGTCCATATATGTAAATTAGAAAGTTCAAACGAAGCGGTGCTCAAATAAAGTTCCTTCCCACTTGTATTAACTATGGCTATGATATTCATAGATTTTATCGATAAATTTATAACTCTATCAGCATAAAAACTACTTCACAAACCAATTGAAAGCGCTGCTAATCTAATACGGCTGCCTCTAGCAGTTAAGACCCGTTGATTCATGCCTTAAGAGTCAGACATCCACTTACAATGTAAACAAATTCAAGTCTGACTGCTTCGAGGTACTTTAGTTAAATTAATGCGTTTCTCGCACCTTATGAAAAATACTTGAAAACTTTTCGTTTCTTACTCAAGTGAGCGTTTAGATAATGCGCTTGTAAGACCTGCCAACCCACTATGTCTGTCTGCCGCTCTATCTGTCTCTCCATGTGACTCTCTCTCTCACTCTCTCTTAAGCGCCGCATTCGCAGCCAAGACATGGCAGCAATTTGTGACGTTTAAGAGACGCAACTTGGAGGCAGCGACTTCTTGACAGGACATTAACTTGCACATGGATAACTTCAAGTGGAGAGCTGTCTCAGTGTGTGTGCGTATGTGTGTGTGCCATATGACTGCTCTGATGATGATTCATGATGATGATCTTTGCCTTTGCCATGGCTTGCACTTTTTTGTTGTTGTTGTGCCTTGGCCATTGCCATTGTCATTTTTCACTGGCAAATGTCGTGTGTGTGGGGGGCTGTGGAATTCTGTATTCTTCAACTGATAGCTGTGTTTGCCCGCCGGCCTCGTTTTTCGACAGCCTATTAGTTTTTATTATTTGTTGCAATTAGTTTACGGCCACGACAGGGCCCCTTTTGTTTGACTCGGCGCGATGCGGCTCCGGCTCCGGCTCGGCTTTTATGACACTTTTGTGCACATTTTTCAACGGAATGAGCGTCATCTGTTGCCGCTGGGCGGCTGTTTTTCTCGCTGCCATTGACAAAAGCCAAACAGCGGCAGCAACAAGGACAATAAGTGCGACTCGCCTGATATCTATGATAAATTATGGCCAAAAGTCAAAGTCATCAATCAGCGGGCCATGTTTTATTTGCCGCTCGTGGCCATTCGCCATTCGCCATTTGCCATTTGCTACGCCCCGCCCGCCTCGCCCAACTGGTCAACGGGTAGGCTCAAGACTTCTGTACATCTGCTAGCCCAGAAAGGATTAAAGTACATATATATAAATCGCAAGTGCGTTGTGTAGCTCAGGTGTCGCACATTTCGATTTAATTTTCATTAAAATTCATTCATTAAATATGCAAAAGGTAAACTGCGGCAGCTCCGCCCCGGCTCGGACCGCCTCGAGCCGCCTTCACTTTGAACCTGACCAAAGCCCATTAAAATTCCTTAAAGACCGGGCCAGCAGCTCTCGCCTTGACTCGACTCCTTTTCATTTTCGAGTGCTTATTAATATTGCAAGGGACCGGAGCCAGGATTTGCGGACATTATGATGCGGTGAATGCGAATTTATGCGACTCATAGCCCCTCCAACAGCCATAAAATGCCCAACCACTCTGTCTTCCTCTCCCTCTCTCACTCGCTCTTCGAGTGCCTCGCTCTTGCTCTGGCTTGGGCTTTTTAATTATGCATTTTTATCTGGCTACAGTTGCTGAGTGGGCCAAGAAGAAGCATTTTGGCAGCTAGTTTTGCCACTTAGCTATATCAACTGTGAATCTATTGCATTAACAACTCCTCGACGCCGTCCCACATGGCGTATGCGCAATTTATGAATTGAGCTCTCAGCGTATTGCTTTGATCAGCTCTGAACAGCCCTCGACTCGAGTGTGCCCTCTCGTCTGTGTCTGGCACGAGTGCCACAGCCAGCTGATGCCAGCTGTAGAGGCAGAATCATCCTTGACATGCATTGATGATGTCAGCGGCAGTTGCCACTGGCACTTACAATTAGCATCCGTTGGGCCTGATATGAATAGCGTATTTTCTATTAACTGATATAATACCATGTAATGGGATATTAGTAAACTACGGTATATTGCATCCAGTAGATGCTATATACATATATGTATATGTACGTATAATAATGCCTAAAGAGCTTCGAGTTGACATTTTCTCTTGCATTGATTTTCCTTCATCAAACTTTGTATTAACTCGGAAAGTGCTTCAGCCAAGACTTGTTCGTTCCATTCCCTGGACAAGAAGCACTCGGAAGCAAGCCTTAAAATGAATTGAAACCTTTTTTCCATTCTTTCACTTTGGTTTTTTTTTTGTTCGCTCAACACCTACGCAATTTACCTCAACTGCGCCGTGTCGTGGTCCCTGCTGGCAGCTGGCGCATGTTTTAGATATGCAATGCGGATGCCTTTGGGAAATTAACGGTACGTTTTAACGGCAACGTCAACGCTCGCTTAAATGTCTTTCATTGTGGCAGGACTTGGGGGAACGTTGCGCAATCAGCAACATTTGCACATTTTTAAGGTGTGCGTCGTAAACTGAAGATTGAGCACAAAGAGAGCAGCTGTAGCAGGACGTGAGCGAAGTAGGAATGAAGTACGACAGCCTAAACAGGATTGAGAGAGGATTCATTAATAGCCTGACAGATCGGAATGGATCTTGGCATGCTGAAAGGGTAAACCAAGGATTGACTTTCAGAAATCGAAATTATTTAAAGTAAGCAGAAAACAGTATTTGAATATTAGATATTGATTCTTATGGAAATATAAACTAAAATTCTACTCCAATTTCTTAAGTAAAACCCATTTACAAATTACCCATTATTAAATTTACATTTTAATTACAGCTTGCCCTGAAGAGAATTAATTGCATTGATTGGCATATGCATATATTTGCAATCAAACCTTGAAGCGCACTTAAAGCTGTCATGTAAATGTAAAGTTGAAAATGACATCATGTTTCGAGCGGGCCAGAGCCGATAAACAGCCTATAAATCACTCACTTTGATCTCATCGATATTTTCCCATTGTTACAAATTTTATTTCGTTGCATTTTACTGCACATAAATCAAGTTGCAAGTGTGTATGTGTGTGTGTGTGGCGCGAGGGGCGGCGTGTGTGGCGTGTGCTGTAACCCAATCAGCCAACTCGCAACAATGCCAGCTTTAAATACCAGCGGCATAATTTATGAGAGTACACAGATTCGAGAGGGTCGGTCGCATTGAGCGAGTGACCGGAGACAGTTGTGACATCAACAATGAACACAGAGAGAAAGAGAGAGAGAGAGAAAGGGAGAGTGAGAGCTCTGGGGCGCGAAACGAGTGTCGAATTTTGAAAGGGCCTGTCGTAATAACAGAAACAGTCATAATGCATCGCATCAAATAATTAGTTGGAGCTGTATATATGTATAGTAAAAGGCGTCAAAGTGCCTATTGAATTAAGTAAAAGGAATTTATTGAAATATTCAAGACAACAAGAATTTTTAATTAGATATCAGATTATTGAGTTAATATTATAGGTTGAACAAATGTTTGGAAAAATATATTAAGTGCTTATGAGGCAAAAGTTAATTATTATATAGGAATTTTTTAATAAAATTGATTTAGTGTGAAGTAAATGGTTATTGATAAAGCGAATCTTGCATTATAAAAATAAGTTTTTTATTTTTATTTGAAAAAATAAGGATATTGCAAAATATATACTAAATGTATGATTAATTAAAAAAAAAAAATAATAATTATAATCAATCATTTATTTGATATTCAATAATATATCATATATGTTATTATATTGTATTTAAAATCAAATTAAATCACTTATTTTCTTGATATTGCCTATCAATGTTGGCCTACAGCAAAATATATATTTTAAATATTACCTATAAATATTAAATAAAGAGAAGAAACTAATATTCCATTATAAACACATTAAACACATACGAGCACATTTATTTCCAAGTACAAGAAACTTTTTTCTGCTGTTTCAATTGCATGTTGCAATCTTCGCAGCAAGTTGGCAGCTCTCCCATTGGCAGCAGTAAATCTATATAATACATAACGTATATGTCTATATATGTACATAAAATGTTTTATATACTCCAAGTTTTGCCTTGCGTGTCATGTGCATGTGTGTGTGTGCGTGTGCGTGCATGTGTGTGAGTTGAAATAAAATAGAAAAAAAAAATGAAATACAGAATAAAAGTTGCAGTTGAACTTTTCAGCATTTGTCAGAGAGTCAGAGGATTTGTTTGCCTTTGGGGGCTGGCCAAAGCCAAAGCCGAAGCCAACAATTTTGCTGGCTGGTCCGCTGCTTCGGTCGTAGTTTTGTTTTTGTTTGTTTGTTTATTTTACGTTCGCCCCACTATTTGTTTTCTTTCCAATTTTGTAATTTCAAACTTTTTCTATTGATTCCATGGCACGCATGAACACCTTCAGCAACAGCGCCGATGACGACAGCAATTGCTATTACGAGTCCTGCTGCGATGGATGCGAACGGATGTGAATGCGGGCGATTCGAAGACAGCAACTTGCCAACTTCTTCGATTTGGCCAAGGGCCGAGGGCCGAGGGCAAAGGACGAGCACTCAATTTAAGTTGTGGGCGAATGGGATTGCCGGGCTGCAGCTGCAACTACAGCTCCTTCGTGCTGACCATGCGTGGAAATGCACAATTTAAAAGAAAACAAAACAAACACGCAACAGAAAAATGGAAAAAAAAAAATGCCAGAGCTAAGAGAAAACTTGAAAGATGAAGCGAAACTTTCTAATGCACTTAACACTCTATTTTCCAGCCAAAAACTGTCAATGCCATTTCGCAACATTTATTAATGTGTCAATCGGACGGAGAACGTCCAGACCAGGCGTCATATGAGGGATTTCGTTTTCTAATATAAGAGCTCAAAAATAAAAGAGAACATTGAATTTGATAAAACTTTTCAATTTGACCCCTTGAACTAAAATATCATAGAACTAAACGGAGTTAAAGGTCTAACGCAAAAATAAATAAATAAAATAATAATAATTAATAAAAATTAATTTTTCAATCATATCAATCAAATGAATTACAGATACATCAAATAGAATATATTTTTAAGTTGAAGAAAAATATATTATTAAATTTTTAGATTTTACAAATAATAAATACAATAAAAAAAACTTGAACAAATATTTTACAATAAAGAAAATGAAATCATTAAAATTGTAATATATATATGCATAAAATATTTGCATACATTATATACAATGTAAATTGCTTTATTTGGAAGCAAACAAATTTCCAGAAGTTCCCTGACCTGTAATCATCAGTTATTAAAGTTTCTCTTCAATTTAAGGGCATGTAATATTCAAATGTTTTGTGTAACACTCTCAGCTTGAAGCGAAGCTCGTTGCAACTGTAATGCCCAGCGAGTGTTCATCAAATATTCGAACAAATTATAAAAGCAAAAGTCGCAGCACAAAGCGATTACACAACTCTGACTGGTGGCCCCAGTGGAAATCAGCCACAGAGCCACAGAGCCGCAACCGAGAGCGGAGTAATTCCTCGAACTGCTCGTCTCCCCGCCTAATGGCGATTAGGTAAATGAAAACATTGCGTGCCGGCGACATTTTTGTATGTGAGTGGCTCGGGCGACGCTTTATTTGCTATATTTCATGCCTGCCTGCACTTATCTCCAATTGTTCATCACGCCCACTGGGGCGGCGCAGCGGCAGCCGTTGGGTGTATGGGAAGGGGCCTCTGACTGGGATTACTGTGTTCAAACTGTGGGGCTGGCCGAAAATGTCATTTGAGTTGGCCAGCGAGCTTCGATTCGACTTTACGTCCTAATTACTCGCACAACACAAAAACGCCACTTCAATTTGAATTAAAATGAGTGGGCAGCACCACCACAGACTGGCTGTGGGCCATGTCCGCGGTGGGTCACAGCTGGCGCCACAGTTTTTAATTGCCGCCTACACAAAATTACCGCGCACTGTTCAGCCACGAAAAAATCTATGAATTGCCAACGGTGCGGGCCATCGCGTCGCTCGTAATGGCTTATAATCGATTTAAGCAGCGCCATTATGATGGCCCCCAACAAATTGCACTTTCGGCCATGACAAATGGGCTCCGGTTGAGACAACTACTGAGACTTTACAGCTGAGTCTTGCTGGAGTAGAGCAGAAGACAAAGAAACAAAAGAAACCAAATCATCATCAAATCAAATCAAGATGCTTTCAGTTCAGCTTACATTTGCTTTTATGCAAATTTCATTTACTTAATTATATATGTATGTGTACATGTATATATCTTTGTCACATTTTTCTTATTATCTCGGCTTCTCTTGTTACACCTTGCTGGTGTAGGAATAATGCAGCTTTTCATGGCAAAACCAATCGATATGCTCTGGCTCTGGCCGATGATGTTTGAGTCTTGTGTATTGCGGTCGGTTTGCCTTTCAGAGTGAACTTCCAATTAGAAGCTGTTGCGTGTTGCCGTTGACCATCAAACTCAGTGCGGTGTAAGAGACATATTCGATTTACGCAGCGCACGAGGCGTCGCCTGTTGTCGTCTCCTTTTACCTACTATATCATCAGCGTGGATAGACTGAGGTTAGCTCGTTATTGTTGCCACTGGCTTCGCCGTCAATTGCAGCTGACTGCACCGCAAAATTCAACGCAATTTGTAAAATGAAATCGATTCAATTGATTGTTGACTTCGCCAAACACACACACGCGCGCTCACACACACACACACACACACATGTGTCATTGTGTGTGCCTTATAAAGCAATGGATGGCATCCTGCAGGAAGCAAACGCCCGCAACGGTGACAGGTGTCTGAGGGGCGAATGTGTTCAATATTGTTGTCCTTTGCCGGCCTTTATTCACTCTACATCTCCCTCTCAGTCCTCTCTGTCTCTCACTCTCTGTCTCGCTCTCGCTCGCTCTCTTGCACTGTTTGTGTGCTTTGCACTTTGCTTGATTAAATTTCAATATTTACTAAAATGTCGCTGAACTCTTTTTGACAGCTCTGTAAATTTCATAACCAGAATGGACATAAAATATGGTCAACAGTGTGTAAATTTGAACATGACAGGGACATAAAAGGACATAAGTGAAATAAAGAGAAATCATTCGCTTCTTTTTTTTACTTTTTTATTTGCTTCTCAAATGCAATTTGTTATAGTTTGTCAAGTCACGAGTTGAAGCGTATCTGAAAGCGACTTGCTATAAATTAGACTCACTAGATTAAGGATTTTATTGAGTCAGGGTAAACAGTAAACAGACTTGGATTGTGCTCAAGCAGGCTTTGTAGTTTATGTAATCAAATTGAGATGCCCTTATTTACTTTAGTGCATTGCAATATCTCTTTGCTTTTACTATCAAAATGTCATGACTTGTTAAAATTTTTACATTTTTGGGGCATTTTTCTGCGTTTCAAATATAACTCACTTCACTTTGTCACATTTAAAGGATGGATTGTAAAGAAGATAGGTAAGTTGCACGCTGAAAGAACTTCATGCATCATTAATCAGACCTCCGCAGGAAATGTTCAGACAACAACGAGGTAGAAAATCATGAAGCTACGCTCGATATCAACATACCCATAGAAACATTGAGCGCCGCCATTCAATTAAGTGACGCGCCAGTAATTTTCCAGGATGAGGCGGAATTTGATCAGATTGAAGACTTCTTTAATATTGGATTGTGTGACGACGATTTCCTGCAAGACGTTAATTTTTTTGCTGATAAGGAGTCGGACGACGATTCAAATGTCATAAGAAATGATGTCAACGATGACATACCCTGGTACGTGGAGGAGGAGTCACTCGGCAAGGCCGACAATTCCAAGCAAGTGGATTCGGACTATTTCGGCTTGGACTGGGATTTCAGTTTTGGCAATGCCAAGAGCGACGATGATATCATTGGGGACTTTGTCAAAATTGATCTTCCCAAGCCGGAAGATACGAGTGCAAGTACCATCTATAATGGCGACATGGATATTTTGAAGTCGGAGAAACTCTTCGACACATCCGAGATACTCTCCCTAAAAGAAACACTAAGCAACTTGGAGGAGGCTCCTCTCGAGGACAAGCTCTGTGAGTATGACGAGCCCAAAAAAGTGGACGATGACACACCCATAATACCTGATTTCGAAATCGACTATGATAACGTCTATGAGAATATTGCGAAGGCCAGCGAAATGGAGAAGCACCTGGAGCTGCTCTATCGGCCCTTCACGTGCCTCGTGGACGTCAATTGCCGATTCAGTCTGTTCGAGTTGGCGATTCTCTTGGACGATTCGCGCTATGAGCCCACTAGGCACCCGGCATTGTTTGTCCGCCTGCATGATCCCAGTGCCGAAATCAAGATATATTCTGGTGGCAAGATACAGTCCACGGCCCTGACAGCCAACTCGGCACGCACGGCCCTGCTGAAGGTAATGCAGATGGTCGAGGAGCTGGACTACAAGGCGGACGTCAAAAACTTCAGCAGGAATATTGTGCACGCCTCCTTCTGTCTACCCTTCAAAATCGACCTGGAGATGCTGAGCGAAATGCACAGCGAGCACATATCCGGCAACCGTGAGACGCGACCCTTCATCACCTACAAGATCGATGGCACCGCGATCCGATTTGCCGTATTCCCCAACGGCTACGTGCTCGTGCTGCACTCGAAGCAGCACAGCGAGACCCGAGCGGCTATCGCCGGCTTCCTGCCGATCTTGGCTCAGTTCCAGAACGGCTATCTCACCCACTCGGAGAAGTACGGCACTCTGTGTGGCGATGTCTCGTTCAAGCTGCTGTGGGAGCGCAAGCTGGAGGAGGATACGGAGGGTGTCTTGCTCTATTCCTGAGTCATATTCGCCGGCTTGTTTTGTTTTGCTTCTTTTCGTGTTGTACTTTATTTGAAAATGCTGTGAACATTTGTCATAAACCAAACTTGTATAGTACGTGCAGTGTTTACACTCTGAAGTTTGGGGCCCACTCGGCAACTTGTTTAAATACGTGATTTATTTACCATCCAGATGCTGCTGCTGCTGCTGCTGCTGCTGTTGGTCTGGGTAACTGAATATAGGGCTATGTACAACTGGGAAAGCCACGCCAAAGTTGCCAAACACAGCCAGCAACAACAGCACCAACAACAACAATACAGAGCGAATGAGTCCGACTCACACCTCCGCAAATGGAGAAGTAAAACAACACACAAATTGCAACAGAAGTTGCAACAACTGTAGCTGCAACAGGCGCATACATAAACAACGCAACATTCTGCAACAACACAACTAGTTGGGAAGATGTCACATTATGCGGGCACAGAACTTGCATCAAATACGTTTTAGACGTGCTAAAAGCACCTAAGCCACATGGTCAGACAGTCG